GGGAGCAGCAGCAGAGCGGTGCATGGGCATCAACATTGTAGTAAGGGGGCGGGGCGTTGCGCTTCGGGAGGCCAGCGTCCTCTCGGCCCACCATCCCCCCTCCCCTACACCCCTCCTCCTAATTCCTCAGCACAGCCACTCCGCCCATGCACTAGGGGGCGCACGAACCAGCAGTGCAAAGTGTACGCAGTGCGCCTTGGGTGCAGCGGACACGATCCCGAGAGCAGCCGGACAAACGGTTGGGCATACGCCCCCTCGCCGCGCTCCGCTCACTATCCTCTCTATACGCATTTTGCATTTCTCTCCGATATTCCCCTTCCCCCCTGCTTCCCCATCCCGCGGCGTATATCCGCAATCTCCATATTGTGCCTGCAATTGAATGAAAGCAAACCGAAGCAAACGCTTTTGCGCAGCAGGGGTGCCAAGGGGGCCTCTGCGGCGCGTCCTCGACCTCACGCGGTGCCCCCTTTGAGCCCTTTGGTGCTTTTTCTTTTTGTTTCCCTTCCTATGTGTCCCCTGCTGGCTTCTATATCTCTAGTCACTCCTGGTGGTCCCATCCCATCCGATAGGCCGGTGGCGCCGCGACCGTATATCGTGCACGATAACGCGCTGACCGAACGATAACGGTGGTATGACGCGATTACGTGGGCCGGGCCGGTAACGCACGAACTGCCGATAACGCGAGCAGTACCGACCCGCCTAGGGTTCGAGAGCAAAGTAAATTTCGAGAAATTTTGAGTAAAAAACTAGTAAATTACGGTAAATTACTTTCCCTCAAAGTAATTTACTTCAAGATTTGTAAGAAATCAGACTTATTTTGCCCATATAGTTTACTTTTTTGGCACGCAGAGAGGTGGCTGTTTTTCTCATACAGGCCGTAAGGCCACTAAATGTTAATGGATCGATTGACAACGTTCTAATATTTTGAGTGGACATACGCACCCATATTTATGTTCTAATTTGCGTCAAGCTTTGCAATTTGTACAGGTTTTCGGCTCCAATGCTTTGTGAACAATGCAGACAATTACATATATTTTAAGTTCTTTTCGTAATTGTGCACAGAGGCAGACATTAAAACTTCATGTGGCTATAGCGAGGCCAGACGTAAGACTAAGACTCCGCTAGTTAGGCAAGGATGCACTACGTATGCTTTTAAAAGGCGGCAAATATTTTGAAAGGTTCTTTATCGGGTGGTGAGGGAAAAAGTATCTCCTCTCTCTCGTTAAAATCTTTTCACTTTCAATTCTATTCAGTCCATCTATGTCAGTGGTGCCTCCGAAGCAAGTGCTTTAATTACTATATCGTAATTGGGAAAGCATACAAGTACCCATAAAAATGTTTAAAATTGCGTATCATTTAAATTGTGCTGTTTTTAGTAAATTACTCAAAAAAACAGTAATTTACTGAAATTTACCCAGGTTTTTTACTTTCAACCAAAATTACCGGTAATTCTCGAACCCTAGACCCGCCCCCTACGACCTATACGATACGACAGCAGAGATCACAACTCGTGTAGTATAATCATTATGATAAATCACAAAAATAATTACATAACAATGCCACAGCTGCATACTAAAACTAATAAAAATTGCCTCCTCTGTCATGCGCAAAATAAGTAGCGATTTCAGTGATTCACTGCTAAACTGTCTCGCCGGACACTGTCCGGGGGCGCCCTGCTTGCCCACGCCTTCGATCACTCCCTCCTCCCCTCGCCCCCCCCTCCAGCTCCCATTAGAGGACCGATCGAGCGCCACGCCAGCAGCGCTCCCACACACACACAGACACACACCGAGAGGCTCTCCTGTTATCCTGGAGGGGCATAGAGAGACGCCGAGGAGGAGGTTGTTGGTATGGAGGCGCGCGGATTTTTTGGCGATCGGCCCCGTTCTGGCGCGACATACGACCGCCCCGGCCGGGCCTGCCCCCCGGTGAGACACTGATAGCCCCATACAGACGCGCCGGTCGCCCACGACCGCCACGACCGGCCCCCCGGCTCGCCTATGGCCGCGGCTATTAAAGATTGCCCCGCCCGGTCGGGCGGGCATGCCGCCGCCGCTGTTACTGCTGGTGCTGCTGCTGTATGTATGATGACATAATTGTCCTCTACTCCCGAATGCTCCATTTTCTTTTTTTGCTGCACCTCGCCTAATGAGGAGGCGTCTTCGCTTACGAGGAGGGAACATATTTAGAAGGTGGAGGGGTGGGTTGGGACGGAGGGGCAGAAAGGTATCGTTCTCGTCGGGGCCGCGGAGTGGGGGGCGGCCCGCGCGCCTCCCCTCCCCCCCTTCCTCCTAGCGTCCCCAGGGCGACGGCACGCGCTCGCTCGGAGATGAGATGCGAGACCGAACCACTCCATTTGGCGACGACAGATAAATCCCGCATCGTCCTGGCCGACGATATGGCCGTGCATTAAAGCTTTGTGGGGGGCAGTGTCCTGTCCCGCGCCGTATCGGACTGCTCTGAGGTCGCCTTGTCGAGCGCGGGTGCAGCGCCCGGCAGGCACTCGGCTCTACTGTCATTGAAGAGGGACAGTGCCGGTGGCCAAACCGTCCAAATACTATGCGGGGTCCGAATAGGATCAGAACGGTCACTGTCGTTAGAGTCTATACGAGCATCATGCTATTTGTACTTCAAGGTGCAAATATCACGCGGTCCCCATGGACTCTCCAATGGCCGTCTTGACCCTTTTCAGTACCCATAATATTTGTGTCCGCCCTAAAGTCACGTGGTTTTCGCGCAGCCCTCGGCGTGTTAGTGCGGAGCGCCTGGTGGGTAGGCATGCCTGTCGAACTCGCGTGCTCGGCGGGGTGGCCTACCCCACAAGCCGCAGGCGCTAGGCCTCCCCAGTCATCCTTCAGCACCATGTGGCATGTGGTGGTGCTGTGGAGCGCCTAGTGGGTAAGCACGCCTGTCGAGCTTCCATGTTCCGCGGGGTGGCCTATCCCACCAGTCGGAGGCGCGCGGCCTGCTACTGCGGAGCGCCTAGTAGATAGGCACGCCTGTCGAACTCGCGTGCCCGGCTGGGTGGCCTACCCCACAACCGCAGGCGCTAGGCCTCCCCAGTCATCCTTCAGCACCATGTGGCATGTGGTGGTGCTGTGGAGCGCCTAGTGGGTAGGCACGCCTGTCGAGCTCACATGCCCGGCGGGGTGGCCTACCCCACCAGTCGCAGGCGCGCGGCCTCTCCAGTCTTGGTACAGCACCCGAACCCCGCGGGCCGGACCCGTCGGGCGGGCCTCGCGCTCGCCGCTTTGGGCCGGCCCGCCATTTGGATGCAGATCAGCCCGTTATTTCCCACGCCGCTCACACTCGGTCCCTCGTCCCCGCGTAAATCACTTTCGTTGACGCATCACCGGCTTAATTATGTGCTCGCGCTCGAGCGAGGGAATATTTTAATTAACTCTCTGCGGGCCGTTTTGAAAAATTCTAATAGTGGAGAATGACGTCTGTTTTTTGTGCTAGTTTTTGTTACATTACACGTTAATTTTGCAAGGCAACAGACTATAGTTTTTCATAGAATGAAAGCTGTCGAAACTTAAAAGTTCACCTGGTTGTGTCTTTCAGGCGCTGGTACTAGCGGCCGCGGCCTGCGGCGCGCTCTCCTTCCCCCTGGAGTACCCGGGCGCCCTGTACTCGCAGTACCATGCGCAGGACCAGCTGGGCCAGTACACCTTCGGCTACTCCGGGCCGGGCGCCACCAAGCACGAGACCAAGACGGCGGACGGCGTCACCCGCGGTTCGTACTCGTACGTCGACGCCAACGGTCAGGTGGGTGTGCGGTGTCGGTGCGGTGGGCGTGCCCTGGCAGCAGGCAGCCTAGCGTGCACCGGCGCGTGCTGGTTGGTGAGCTCTTCGGGAGCATCGAGTCGTTGCTAACCGCCCTGTGTCTCTCTGTCCCGGCAGCTGCAGACACGGACCTACACGGCGGACGACGTCCACGGATTCCGCGTGGCCGCTAGCGACCTCCCCGTTGGCCCCTCCTCCGCGTCCTACCCATCGTACCAGTCCGCCCAGCTGCCGTCCGCGCAGCTGCCGTCCTGGCAGCACGCTGCCCCCGCCAGGTAGGCCGCCCCTCCGCCTCGCACGACCAGCCGTTGGACTTGTCTCCCGGCGCCCGGAGCGAGCCTCGCTCACCATTTTGAATCTTTTGGATTTCATGTATCTTGAACGGCTTGTGATAAAGAAGTTATGAATGCGATAACTTAAATTTCAAATTGTAATTTAAATTTAGGCCCCATTAATTAATTTTAAAACTCTAACTGCTTTAGAGATTATAAACACCAAAACTTGTTAAGGTTGCATCACCACTTGATACTTTCAGATACACCCCTTCGAGCCTGGCCAGGCCCATCCAGGACACCCCGGAGGTGGCCGCCGCCAAGGCCCAGCACCTGGCCGCCGTCGAGGAGGCCAAGAGGAGAAACGGCGTCGCATCAGGTTAGTACACAGACAAGTCTAACAGAACACGGCATCACATATTTATAGCCGGACTTTTCTGACACGGTTCTTGTCGGTCTCACAGACAGCAGCTCCCAGTACTTCGGCTCGTCGGCAAACTACCCTCTGGAGCACCGCTACCTCAGCGCACCCGTCGCCCCCTACAACTACCAGGTACCACCGCTGATCATGCATCACACTCAAATACATTTCACGAGAAAAAGTCACGAGGGCACCATGTGAAAGTTTTACCAAAGTCAAAATGACACGTTTGTAGCAGAAATATGGACTCGATTTTGACTACCAAAATTTTGGGTTACTTTTCAATTTGACGTCACCATAACCGTCTGGTATCCGGACGCTGTACTTACTTACGCCCCTCACCTTCCCCAGAGCGGAGCCCCTCTGATGACGCTGCCCATCGGGATCAGCTCGCAGTACCACGCCCAGGACGAGCTGGGACAGTACAGCTTCGGCTACGCCAATGACATCTCCTCCAAGGTACGCCCGGCTTAAGCAGTGATGACGCTTTGTTCCGACGAGGGAATCAATCTTCGGCGTCCCAGGCGAAAGACACATTGAAAGTTACATCAACTTTTGTTCAACCTGACAAAATTCCTGAAGCCTCTGTTGTTGTGTCAATTGAACAAACACATACAGGCCCATATATATAGACCAGAATTTCATTTGCTAAATCTGTTCCTCCTTCTCTACTCCGCAGAGCGAGACCAAGACCCTGGACGGCGTGACCCGCGGCAGCTACTCGTACCTGGACCCCAACGGCCAGATGCAGACGCGCAGCTACATCGCGGACGCGGGTGGCTTCCGAGTGGCGGCCTCCGACCTGCCGCAGTTCAACTACTGAAGCGCTCGACTCGACCCCCGCCTGGACCCCCTCCCACCTATAAAAAAAACCCAGATGATTGCAGTTCGGACGAGTTCGGACGATGGGGGAAACATACGAATTTCCTCCGCCAGCTCGACCGGGTGCCGACCTCAGGTGCTTCCGAACTTCCGATCGACCCGCGCGAACTCCGTCGAAGCCCCTCTCGGCGCCTCAATGCTGCACTCGCATCACAAACACAGATACATGTGTGTACTCGCTCAAAACGAATTACTCAATTGAAAATAAATATAAATTATAACGACTCTGTTGTGCACGCCCCCTTCTCCCGTGTGGCGCCGTCACCCTCTCGCTTGACCCGCCCGCCCGCCGATGCCGGGCCGTGTCGCAATAACGCTTGTGCGTGGGGCAAGGTCACGGCGGCGTGCGCGTGCGCGCGTGAGCTTCGTCACGGCTTACGCACGGGTTGCGTTCGAATCCGGCTGCAGCACCGCCCTCTCGGAATCCCCCTACTATTGTCCTCCCCTCCTCCCCCTCGCGGATGAGCGGCGGCGGCGCGGCTCACTCTCAAGTCGATTCATTTGCTGCCTCCTCCGACTGACTTCTTGACTCGCGCGGGGCGGAGCGCGCGACCAAAGCACGCGGATCTGCCGGGCGGCGGAGGGGATCTGCTGCTGCAGCTTGTATGACGCGTCGTTATATTGGCACGCCACGCCCGCCACACACGCAGCGCGGCGGCGGCGGCGCTGTCGCACAAGTGACAAATATGACACGCACGAGGAACACGTCCTGACGCTTCAGTGCGGGGCGGGGCGGCGCGCGGCGGGGCAGGCCTTCCCTCTCCAGGCACGCTTTGCTGGAGAGCTCGACGCGCGGTGGCACGCGCGGGGCCCGCCCGGACCGGCCCCGGCTTCCTTTAGGGCCAAAATGCAAATAGTTCAGAGTCCGCCACGCGCTCGACGCCCCCCTTTTTCTAGCGGGATGTTTCACTCTACTGGTTCCTCTCATATTTCCTATATTTCCCCAGATTCGACGTTTTATAACAAGCTCTTAGTCTTAAAAACACACCAGTTTTTCCAAGCCCCCCAATTTTTTCCGTGAGAAAAATTATTCCTGGACGACCCAAATATGACGAATCATTTTGTGCTTTCGTTTAGTGCGTTGGAGAGCAGGGGGATCACAAAAGTACAGAGAACAGATAAATTTTATACAAATATATTTATTTTGTCCGTAATGAGTGCGTCAAATAACGAGTGGGGGTTTGATTAAAAATCCTCACCAGTTGTGCTGGTTCCAATAGAATGGCGTTTGGAACCAAAAGAAAACATTATAATCATTATAATTACTATAATTATAAAAACTAAAGTCCTTTATCGTCGTCTCTACATTTCGTCGTTTCCCTCACTTTCAGTCTGCAGATAACTGGGGGCCATCTCGCGCGTCGTCTTCAGGGTCCGAAGTCTAACACGACTCACCGGAGGCCCCCTTTATCTTGATCACAGTCTAGTTTTTGTACGGCGGGGAGAGACTGCTCTCCCCTCTCCTCTCGCGTTTGGTAACTTGAGTCCTCTGGTTTGGCGTGGTTCTGTCGGGTTTCGTTCGAGTTTACCAGGCGCCACCGGCGAGGCGGGCGTGCTCCTGCTGGTGGGCGTGGAAGTGCTGGGCCTTGGCGGCGGCCACCTCGGGGGTGTCCTCGAGGGTGCCGTCGGGCTTGACGATGACCTGGGCGGGGACCTGGGCGGCGACGGGGCCGGCGTAGTAGGCCTCGGTGGCGATGGGGGCGGCGGAGACCAGAGGACCGGCGGCCACGGGGGCGGGGCCCTCGGGCAGGTCGGTGGCGGCGACGCGGAAGCCGAGGGCGTCGGCGACGTAGCTGCGGGACTGGACCACGCCGTTGGAGTCGACGTAGGAGAAGGCGCCGCGGGTCACGCCGTCAACGGTCTTCTCCTCGTTCTGCGGAATCAAAACAGCCAACGTCAGTCCGATTAGATTCAAGACTGGCCGGACACCGCAGTAAACCCCAAGGTAAATGTTGTCACGGTGAATAATCGATAATTTACGGGGCCAAATATAATAACGACCCTGCTTTGCATCCTGATTCCGGCCGAATGCAGAGCTCCAAGGCGACCCATGGCACTCAAAGTTATCCACCAGCATCTTGCGTACGGGTGGCACCGCAAACCGAAATTAAATTTAAAGTGCCCTATTTTTCGAGAGTTGCGAGGAAGTGATAATAGCCCCCCTCCTCCCTCCTCTAGCCCATCCACCGCGCGCACTCGACCGATTCTGGCACGCAACTAACACACACGGTCTCCCGTCTCGCCTGGACGCCTCGGCTATTCATCACCTGCGTCGATTATGAGCGAATAGCTAATGGCTGTGGGCTTGACCCTGGACCTGGGCGCCGCGGCCCGCATGGCGGCGACAATTTGGACCCCCCCCCCACTACTTATCCCGTTCTCGCGTTTCATGCTTTGCTCTCCTTGCCCATCCCATTCGCCTCATCGCGCGGGCATGCGGAAGCTGTCAGCAACGCTCTGGACCAGTTCGCCTGAAGTTGGGCCGCGTGCGGGGTGAGGACACGACGAGGATGAAGAGGGGGGGGGGGGGGCTTACGGGGTTGGGTATCTCAGGGTGGAAGACAGTGTGCTTACCTTGGTGGAGAGACCGCCGTTGTAACCGTAGCTGTACTGGCCAGCCTCGTCCTGGGCGTGGTACTGGGAGTGGACGTCGGCGACGGCGGCGAGGGGGGCAACGGGGGCAACGTGGCTGACGACGGGGGCAACGCGGCTCACGACAGCGGGGGCGACGTGGCTGACGACGGGGGCGACGACTTCGGACCATTCACCGCCAGCACCAGCGTTGCGGGCCTGAGCCTCGGCCACCAGGGCGAAGTGCTTGGCCTTCTCGGCGACGACCTCAGCGGTGTCCTGGACGTGTCCGTTGGCGACGACAATGTTGGCGGGCTGGCCGGTCCAGGTGGGGTACACGTTGGAGACGACGGGAGCGACGGCGGCGTAGGTGGAGATGGCGGCGCTGGGGCCCCAGGACTTCCAGTTCTCAGCGTTGTCGGCCCACTCGGTGCTGCCGGCGGCGGCGTCGCGAGCGGCGGTCTGGGCGTAGATGGCGTAGTGCTTGGCCTTCTCGGCGGCAACCTCGGGGGTGTCCTGGACGTGGCCGTTGGCGACGACGACGTGGGCGGGCTGCACGTGGCGGGCGGCGACGAAGTTGGGGGTGACGTAGCTCCTGACGACGGGGGCGGCGGCGGCGACGTAGCCATGGGACACGGCGGCAGGCTGGGCGACCCAGCTCTTGACAACAGGGACACCGTGCACATCGTCGTACCACTGACCGTCATCCTCGGCGCTCACGTAGACACCGGCGCCGTTGCGGGCGCGGGCCTCGTTCACCAGGGCGAAGTGCTTGGCCTTCTCGGCGGCGACCTCAGGGGTGTCCTGGACGTGGCCGTTGACGACGGAGATCTGGGCGGGGTTGTAGTAGCGCTGCCATGAGGGCGCGTACCAGTTGCCGGCGCGGGCAGCCCACACGGAGTTCCAGGCGGGGGCGGCGGCGGCCCACTGGTTGTTGACGACCACGTCGCTGGCCCAGTTGCGGGCGGTGGCCTGCTGGTGGGCGGCGAAGTGCTGGGCCTTGGCGGCGGCAACCTCGGGGGTGTCGGCGGGCACGTAGGAGGCCACGGCCACGGCCAGGACGCAGGAGAGGACGATCTGGGGGATGAAGAGGGTACTTTAAAAATCAAGTCATATTTTTATTTTAACGATTGATATGGCAAGGGATGGTCTGAACAGAAATCGAAACTGCATACAAAGAACTTTTCTAAAGCGACTGAACGTAAAGTGTAAAGTTTCAAACTTTGACCTGTCAATTTAAGTAGTTAAGTACTTACGAAGGACTTCATTTTGTCTAGCGCTGCTGGATATCCAGTACTCGCCAGAAGAAGTGTCGGATTCGGACTGAGGCCATTTGCTCATCCAGCGCCTTTTATACCTCGCGGATATTCTTCTTCTTGACTGATGCTGTTGTTTTTGTTTGGAGCCGCCTCTGTTGTTGTAGTTGCTCCAGAAGCGTTGGCCTGCGGCTCCCCCCTACCTGCTACTGCCTCCGCAGCACCGCCGCCGCCTCCGGTCTCTTCCTCCCCCTCCCGCCATGTGGTGGTCGTGGTGGTAGTGGTCATGGGATGGTCTCACTGCTCAAATCTTCTTCTTTTTTTCCCTCCCCTCCCCTCCAATTATGTGTACCCCCTCCCCTCACCGCGCCGTGTGTCGCCCACAGCCGTCGCAGTGTTTTGTTCCCTGTAGCCTTCACTAACGCGCATCTGTCATCTCGCATAGCGCACCGAGCCGTTCAATGAAATTAGCCGCAACATTGCAAGATGCGTCGCAATTTCATTGATCGTCGCGATTCCAAGAGGGGCGGCTGCTGCTGCTCCGAGCGCCGCGCGAGCTGCTGCAGGGACCCTCGTGTTAGGGGCGCGAGATCCGCACCCTGTGAAGTGCGTGTTTGAAAGCGCGGAACGCCTAGATTTGAACGAGCCCATGCAGCGCCCTGCTGGACGAACGTTCTGGACGGCCCCGCCGCAGCAGCCGCCTCGCCTCTTCGTCGTGGCTGATTGGTCAGTGAAGCGTCTTTGCCCGCTGTCTTTCTCTTTTTTTCCCTGTCTTTTTCACAGGTGCCCCGCCCTGGCCCCACCCTGCCCATCACACGCCCCGCCCCGACCCAGGACGGGAAACAAGAGCGCAGAGCAGACGCGCGGCGGTGTTCTCAGTCCTGCCGGTCACCCCACCCCACCACACCCCGCTGCTGTGGTCGACGCACCATTTATTTGTTATCCTGAAGCGAAGCCGGTGGCAGGTGGATGTACGAGCGCGCGGGGCGCGGCGGGGTGGGGCGGGGCGTCCAGACGAGGGGCGATAGCCCTATCAGCAACACCTTATCATCATAGCACAGCGATTAACTCCTCCGCGTCGGGTTTATAGGTTTTGCCGAGATTTGCCCAGGTTAGATTTTTCGGGCCGATGATGACGATCCTCGCCCGGCGGCCTGTTGCCGTGTGCCACTATATAATCGTGGGTGTTCAACGACCTCAAAATAACCTCTGATTTATTGAAGCGAGGTGAAACTATAAATAAAGTTATTCACAACATCGTGTACAACAGTGAGTGGCAATTTTTGTTAAAAATAAAACCTAATTGCCATTACTGCCTGTACCAGGTGGGTGATTAACCCCGCACACTTCTGTAGTTAAACTGTAGCGCATGCAGGAGTGCCGGCGGGCGCCTTGCGGGCCGAGCGAATAGGCAACCTGCCCGCACGTAGGAATGCGGTACAGCGTAACTACAGGAGTGCGCGGGGTGAACAAGCGATCTCGTATATTAAAAAAATAATATTTTGAACCCCACAATGTAAAGGCCCAATACGGTTTGATCTACGACCCTCTAAGCTAATAAGCTAATAAAGCTATAAGCTAATAAACCTGACATACTTTCCTCTCGCATTTTCCTAATTTGCGCTGTTTTACAGCCGCCGAATTCGGCGCTCGCGCGCATACGCCCGG